CCACCAATCAAAGCATGCATCATAATCCTAGGGCAGCAAAAGCTCTGAGGCTGGAAAGGAAAAAAGAAAAAAGAAAGCTGATCTGGCATGATGAATTGGGCTGCCTTGGCCAGGCTGCCAAGCACACACCGCCTTTCTCTTCATGCTATGTGATCGGACCACTGGTGGATCGGGTAAATTCCCCTACAGTTCCCTGGCTCTGACATCTAAGTGAGGCCATTCCCTTCACGGGGAATGCTGGCAAATCCTAACATTCTTGTCAGTCTTAAAGGTGGAGACTTTTCTTGAAAACAACCTCCCCTTCATTCCTTCAGCCAGGTGAGCAGGGAAGAATGACTACCATCTGCACCGGCAGCGCATTAGCTTAGCTGCTTAAAGGCCTCGGACTGATTACAGGAGACAAAGGCCCGGGTGGTTTTCTCTAAGAGCAAATAATGGTGTGAATTTTCTGAAATTACAGCATTGGGAAGAAACTACTTGAGAGCCAGAGCAAATCTTATAGCAAAAGAGAACTTGCAAATCCAGTTTAAAAAGGAAAAAGAAAAACTGTCATTCCCAGGGAAAACAGAAGAAAAAGGCAATGATAAAAACATTCAAAGGAGAAACTTCTAGGGGTGGTCACACGATGCAGCACAAAGCCAGCCCAATGCCCCTGGTACACACACGTACCAAAGCAGTGAGGGCCCTGAAGCCAGACCAAAGCACGTCAGCATGGTTTTATTGAGGCACACTTTACAATCTACATTCATCAGACTTCAATTTTAAAAATTAATGAGAATGGAGGCAGCAGGCAGCATAGTAGTTAAGGTGCTAGACTCCCACATGGTTACCTGCAGTTCAAGTCCTGGACCCCAGTGGCCTGAAACTCATGCTGGGTGTGTGTGCGTTCATGCCCAAAATTCTGAAAGAATGGAGAAGGGACTCTGGCATGGCCATCCCCCTGGGGGATGATTTCTTGCTTTCTGTCTCTCTGGAGAGTACATGTGCTCTTATAGTAAAAATCTTTCAAAAAATTTTTTATGAGAACACTGTCCATTTTTTAGGGTGGGTATCATTTATAATGCCCTTTTTCAGCCTCACAATGGGGCCCATGGCTGGCCTCTACACAGCAATGGTATGAGGAGGTCCGCACCTTTTAAGACACTTCCTGACACAACAGAAAAAGTAAACTGCTCACCCTAAATGGCCTGGCTCTAAGAAGGACATTTCTTTGATGTCTCTAGTTTGTCTACAAATTACGTGAAGTTAAAATTATTCTCCGTAACATACCTATGTGCCACATTTCTAATGAATAAATTAGTTGCATGCTCTCTCCAAGCAGATCAAACGGACACCCCATAAAGACATGCCATATTTAATCCACTGCTGTGAGTATAAGTGATTTGACCCGAAGGCACCCAATAAGCAGGACTTATTGAAGGAGAAATCGGGATTCCTGATGCTGCTTAGCCAAAACACCAAGCTGGCTTCTTCCTCAGTCTAAACCACCTAAAAATGGTGAAGTGGTCATATACACCTTAAAGGGCTGTTATGAAAATTACACGAAACAGTAATAAGCAGCCTGAGCGCACAGTGGGTGAGGAACATGGCATCCACTGGCACCTCGGTCTGCTCCCTCTCTCTACTACACACTTCTAAGGATTGAGTTAGAAACAAAAAATAGCACACTCCGACGGCTGTCCACGGCTTCCAGTACTCCCACCTCGTCAGGGACCAGCCTGCATCTAAGTCTCAGGGCTGTTGCTCACAAGCAGAAATGGGCTCCGTGAGGGAGAAACTCCAGATACTCTCCTTCCGAGGCCACCAGGGCTGCAATCTGACCAGGCTTCCCTCCGGGCAGCTACATGCAGCTACATGCACATCTCTGAAATAAAGGGTGACCAGGAAACTGCAGAGAAAACCCACAGCTGTAGTAAAACCCTTCAGTTGCCATAAGAACAAAATAGCCCGTTAAACACCAAGGAGAGTCACTGAGAAAAACTTACTCATCGTTTCTTAAAACTTTTATGTTTGGTTCATTTCTAAAATACAGTAACAACTAAATTGGCACTCTAAATTTAAAGTCGGCCAAGCATACTTTCACGCTGAGTTTAAAAAAAAAAAAAAAGAAAAAGAAGCCCCTATACCTGACCAAATTAGAAATCTGATCACACTTTCACTTTTGCCCACCTCTCCCACAGGAGAACAATCACAGATTTCTGACCAAGAGAAACACAAAGACATACATTATGGTCCTTTCTGGACGGTGGTTTGTAGAGCTACCTTCTCGGACATCTGAGAATTGTTAATAAGGTCATGCGCAGAAACTGTTTAGACAATGCCCTGCACAAGACGTCCCACAGGGGTGAGGGAGACAACTGGGTATGTACCATGCTGGGTTCAAGTCCTCCTTCTGACAGAGACTATCCTTCAACAAAGACCATCTCCTCCAACTCCTTTAGTCCACATTGCCCCACTTCACATTTCACACACTTGGGCCCAGAGTCTACACAAAATCAGACCCAACCAATCCAATGTTTAGGCTGATGTTTAAAATGAGGAAATTTGGGGCCAGTAGGTGGTGCGGTGGTTGGAGCACTGGACTCTGACATGGCCAACTGTGGTTTGAGTCCTGGACCTGGCATCTTGTTTTATCACTCCCCCCTCAACTCTGTCTTTGTCTCTCTCTGGTGAGTGTACGTCTCCTATAGCAAATTTAAAAAGATAATGAAGAAAACCAAAGAAATCATTCTTTAAGAAAATTAAGTGAGGATATTTCATGTAATCTAAATTTATGGCTCCTCCAGGAAAATATGGAAGTGAGCAACAAAGGATCATACTCCCAACAGAGCAACAAGTGCCTGGAACCAAGGGGTAGCTGCCTCAGATGGGGTGTGTACCCAAGACCCCTTGCAGGCCCTCTCCTTACTCAAGCCCATTTCACTGACGTATGTCCTCACTGACTCTTGGCTTAGGATTCTTTACCTTGGGTTCACTTGCACACAACTCAACCTTCTCTTGTTTAGCACTCATCTGAAATGTCTACTTGACCAGGACTCATCACTTTTTCACAACTACTCCTCTTCATTCCCATCACGAGCACCTGCAGCTGGTTCTCTCAGCAGGACCACTGACCTCGAGAAACCTCCTTCTTACTTCCTGAATTTCTACATGGTAAAATACAGCAAGTTCACAGCTCCTTCTGTTGTGACAGGCTCAGTCCTGTCTCACACACCTGCCTCTCAGCTGGGAGCCTGTGACCCTATAAATATACTGAGAGCTGCACTCTGGACCTCCCAGGCCGCAGAGAAGAGAGTTATTTGTGAACCACAGGAGTCTCCTGAAGTCTTATTTCCTTCTTACTAAAATGGTTCTGAATTCATACATTGGAATTAAATAAATCACCATAGCATAAGAAAGACGTTCCAAATGACTATTTCTTTTTATTATTAGGTTTTTGTCATACAGTGTGAGCACTCAACAGAGGGAGGGAAAGTGAGAAATCATCCCTGGTTGGGAGGGTAGCAGCCATGCAGTAATCCTTTTTCCTCTCAGAATTTTGGGCGCGTGCGCGTGTGCACGCACGCGCACACACACACACACACCGGGCGTGTGCACGCACGTGCACACACACACACACACACACACGCCCAGCGTGATTTTAAATCTGCAGGGTCTGGGACTCAAACCATGCTCTGCCACATGAGAGTCCAGAACCTTAACCACCATGCAACCTGCTGGTCCCCAAATCACTGTTTTAAAAGACATCTCAGACCAGTTCCACAGCCAGGTGGTTAAGGGAACTAGAGGTTAAGACCTCACATGGCTGACTACAGTTCAGTCTGACCCTGGAAGCCTGATAAAACACACTAGGGACATGTGTGTGCATGCCTCACATCCTGAGGGGAAGGGACTGTGGCATGGCCATGCCCCACTGGGCGGTGCTCTCTCCCTCTCTCTGGTAAGTATATGCAATGAAAAACAACAATAAAACACATCACATTGATGAGCTAATGGCAGCTGATCATCACATCCAAGCAGAAATGGGACACAGTGAGGCGTGCAGAGGACTCCAGTGGCAGACCACGGCTGGCACACACAAGCTGAGAAATTCACTCAGCCTCATGGGACCTGATTTTATTTCAATTCTCCCCATGGTTTTATATCAACAGATGTTTTTATTTTGAGCATTGTCAAATTATGGTGCCCATCTACCTGAGGCATCCTTTTGAGATCAATCATTCTGAGTATTAAAAAAAACGGGGGCAGACTTGGGACCAGCAGTTAGTGTAATGGCTATGTCGCTGGACTCCCATGTAGTCGACCACAGTTTGAGTCCTGGACCCAGTGACTTAAACTCACGCCAGGCGCGTATGCGTGCGTGCCCAAGATCCTGAGGGGAGAATGGAGGAGAAGGGATTGCGGCATGGCCATTTCTCGCTTTCTGTCTCTCTGGTGAGCACACATGCCCTATGACAAAAACCTCTCAAAAATAAAAAAGGGGGGTAGACTTCAAAAAGGAATCAAATATTTAAAAAATAATATTTAAAAAATAGATTTGGCGAGCTCTTTAAAAGCCAATTTTTACATTAAGCCTTTACAAACTAGAAAAGAAGCCACTGAAGCATCTCTGAGTCGACGTTTGCACTGTGTTGGCCAGAGACACACACCAGCAGACAACAGCAGCACCTGGCAGACTGGCACAGCCAAGGCCTGCAGGACGTGGGTGGCCTCTTCCTCGCCGGGCTGGATGCAAGCTGCAGACACAGCAGCCGGGGGAGGGGCAGACTGTAATCGATCTTAGCACTCCTATCTTGGGCTTTATCAACACACATGGTTTTGGAATAAAGACCATCATATGAAACTCATCTTTGTCTGGAGGAATCTCATTGCCCGGCAGTGTGGCCTAGCTAGAGAGAGAAAGGTTTCCTGTGTTTTGAATTCAGTATGGAAAAAGCTACACAAACGCAAGCGATCATGAGCCACAGCTTCAAATGAAACCATATGAAGAAGGCGCCTACCAGGTCGATCAGGTCGCTGAGGTTCTTCTCGATTTGCTGTGGAGGCAGGCGCCTCATTAGGTCCAAGGCACAGTCCAGCTGCTGGTCACTCTGCGAAGGACAAATGGAAGAGCCTAAGTCATTTCTGCCGAGAATACCAACAACTCCTTTCAGAAAGCATTCTTTCAGTTGCTAGCTGTATTTGAAGATCTACAGAGCCCTGCAACGAGCCCTCTTCCGGGCATGCAAGTGCAGCCCCTAAAGGGGACTGTGTTCGGATTGTCCACTCCCTGTTGGGGAGCGGGTTCTCAAAAGGGGCATCCGAAGGATCCAGAAAGAAGAAGGAAGCAGGCTGGAGCTTTCAGAAAGCTCCTCATGGCCTTTCCCTCTCCCTAGAAGCTGCAGACATTCACCTCCCAGTTGGTTCAATGGTGAACATGCTTGAGTAACACAATGGAATGGGTTCATCTTTTGCTATAACATGGTATAAACTTCAGATAACACCACCAGGCCAGGTTCCCTGACGAGCACCAAGCCGGGGGAAAGCCAGGCAAAGAACAAGTAGCGAGATATAAGAAGGTCAATTGTTTCCATTCACTCAACTAAAGCTCGGTAAGTCTTCCAGGCCCAGTGTGACAGACCGGAGCCACATTACAGTCGAGAGCCCACCCTGGCTGACAAAGTGGGCCACGGCAGCTGCAAGGGAGAAGAGGGCAGAAGTTACTTCCATTCAGCAAGTATCTTGGCAAAGCTGCTTCACCCCTCACCTGACACTTACGCTACAAGTACTTACTGACAGCCATCATGTGTCAGTTACCATAAATATACAACAAAGGGGAAGAGGGGAGAGCCCCTTGAGTGGGGGCAAGACAGGTAAAGTTACTCAGCGCACAGTGGGCTACAGCACAGGTCCGGCCTCAGGAGGAACAAGAAATAAGATGGCCAGCTGGTGGCATGGTAGAGGCGGCTGGATCCCACGTGGCCAACTGTGTGGTTTGAGTACCAGACCTAGGTTTAAAAACATGCTGGGCACTAGGAAATGCATGCCCAAACTCCCGAAGGAGGGAGAGATGGAAGAGAAGGGACTGTGGTGTGACCATGCCCTATGGCGGGGGGGTTTTTCTTTTTTTTTTTTTCTTTCTTCTTGCACAGAATACACGCCTCTGGCAAAATAAAGCACAGGGAAAACAAAAGGGAAGGTGAGAAAAGTAGGCCAGATAAAACAGAGGCCTCTGTACACAGCTCTAAGGAGTACACAGTTGCCACAAGTAGGGCAGATGGTGAGCCCAACACTGCTCATGAGGGGCACCATGCGATTTTTAAAATCTAGAACCGGCTGTGCTAAGATCAATTTCAGGATTTTTGAAAGCCGTAAATTACCATGCTAAAGAGTCTTATAAAATATGCCAGGTAATCTTCAAAACGCCCTATTCCGCTGTAATGAAACATATAACCTCTGCAGATCACCACCTGCACTCCGGGTCTATTAACCACAAGCCGTCTGTGGGGAAAGGACCCACTGTATATCTACCTGGGACATAACACATTGTTAACTGAGTTGACTTCATCTGCAGATACTGACAGGACGTATACAGCAGGCTTTTACTTCCTGGGGGTGGGGGAAGCTGTCCCTTGCTAAAGATGATCATCAGTGACAATCGATTCTGGGACACACAAGACCCTGACTACCCTGCAAAGAAACACACACACAGTTACCTGTGCCTCAGAAACCCTAACACTTATCTTGCTTAATGAAACATTCCAGCAGCCATGACTTCCCTACTTGTGCCATGCACTTCCATGCCAACACACGTCAGAGAGGCCACAGTGATATGGGCTTGGACCGCTGGCAGGGGAAGGAATTTTAACACCACGTCTAGGGTAGGGCACGCAGATGAGCTGATTTGACTCTAGAGAGACATACTCAATGCCCAGTCCTGCCATTCAGGAACTTACGACCTTAGGCAAGTTTCTTAACCTCTATACACCTTTATTTATCCATAAAATGGGAAGGTATCCACCACAGTAGTATGTGTTCAGTGATTTAGGGTATTGTGTGTTGTGTAAATATGCATTTATATTTTAAGTATAATTATTTTAAAACATCCACCCCAAATCAACCCAATCCTACTCTGCCCTGTTGCCTTAAACTAGAGCTAGGTGTGCAAACTCTACAGACAGCTATGTACTCTCTTGGTCACACAAGAAGAAAAAATCCTCAGTGATTCCAATCAAACTTGCCCAAAGGTGTAAATCAGTGTTTCTCAACTGGGGGTGACTTTGTGCATCTACATAAAGCCTCACCCTACCTGGAGTCACCTGACAGCGGAGGGAGACACTTACACATGTCACACTGTGGGAAGGGAAGCTTTGAGTAGGGACCGAGGTTCCTGCCAACATCCTGCAAAGCAAAAGATGCCACCCAGGACAAAGAAGTATCTAGTGCAAAATGCTTAGACAGACTCGAGGTTGAGAACCTCTGGTCTAAAAACAATCACTCTGTGGTTTGCAGACTCCCCATATCTGATCAACAAGATGGCCTACCTCTCCAGAGAAAACTACGACACTTTATGTGCAATTCTAATTTAAAGACTACTTGTAACCCCCTAAAAACCTCTGGCCTTTGGTAACTATTTCGACTAGATAATAATCTTTAGATTGAAAAGCAAATTTAAAATAAACCGAGCTAATTTGAAATTGTAATCCGAAGCATCCTGGGATTCAGAAGGGATTATTAAATAAGAAAGTGAGCAGTGTTATCTAGGAAAAGACGTAACCACCAGAGAAGGTCGCCCTGAAAGTCTTCTTTCCAACCCCTTCTGCGGGGCCTGTTCCAGCCCCCCCCCCCCAAAAGCCTCATCACACACT